ATTCGGTGCATAACGTTCTTTTCATGTTTCTATGTCATAGTGCGAAAATGGGCGAAATCGGATTACAACCACGCCTATTTTCCATATGACACCATTTTAAATACCACTTGATTCTTTCACTTTCCACTATGCAAATCAAGCAACAATGATTATATCGGCGTAAAACTTTGCGTGAATAATACGTTTAAAGTATGCCACCTTGTGACCAAAAATTTTCTAAATCGAACCAAAACTGTACAAGCCCCTAAGTACTAAATATGTGGACCCCAGTGCCTATAGTTGACCTTCTACCGAAAATATCAGTCAATCCACAAAGAAATCTCAAACGAGTATACCATTTGACTTTGCGAGAGTATAAAATGTTCGGTTACATCCGAACTTAGCCCTTCCTTACTTGTTCATATATATATTTATTTTTAACTTTTGTTTAATGTGCTTTAAAAGCTTTTTTTTAGTATTTTAAACCATACTTATTTTTTAGCCACATGTGGTGTTTTCACTTTCTTTAAGGATGTGTTTGAATAAATTTGTTATTCAAATTACAGCATGGATAGTTGATGCTTTAAGCTGCATAGCTTTATGGTCGTTGTGCGATTTCACCTATTTTCATAGCGTGTGATAAGAATGGCTGGGTAACCCCACGTACTAAATTTTGATAATTCTTACACCTCCTTCTTCCATATAACATAAAGCTCTTCCCTCCTATCTTGTTTAAGAAATTTAATGCTTGTGGCGCATTTATTCAGTGACTCGCACTTTTAGTAGTTTTCAGCATACTCATTTTAACAGCGTATGAAAGTGCTAAAAAAGACTTCCTTCCAGCAAATTTGGTTGAGTTAGCTTAAGCGGTTTGGAATATATGTACATTAAACCGCCCACTTAAAAAAAAATTTTAGCCAACAGGTGCCCCTTGTTACCGCGATCCCCTGTACCAAATTACAGTTCGGAATTTTAATTTAGTGCTTAGTTATGGCACTTTACAGGTTTTCTTTTGATGGCGTTTTGTGGGCGTGGCAGTTGTCAGATTACGCCCATCTGCAATACCGACCTTTCTTGGGTGCCATGGAATATATGCAAATTTCATCAAGAAATCTCACTTTATACTCAAAGTATCGCGTGTACAGTCAGACGGACTGAAAAAAAGGTGGACAATTTGTTGAGCTCGTGGAGAAAAGTGCCGAAGCTAGAGGAGGCAAGACACAATTTGGAAAAAGTAAAAAATTAAAGGACCGTGGGAAATGTTTCGAACATAAGAGTCGATACAATTTACTATTCTTTGGAGTACAATTTTTGAGTAAAATTATATTTTTGAAATGTTTTGCTCCTCTTCACTAATTTGTGTTTTATCCACTGCGTAAACATATGCTACAACGACAACAGTGTTCATAATATTTAAAAGAAAGATATGGTAGCCTGCGCCAGCGCAAAGTTAAAATCATTTAAACTGCTTTTTGATAACTACCATCTGCTAAAAAAAGGAGAGTTTGTGGTAATGTTCCTTCATCCCATTTAGTAAAAAAACAAACTGCTTCCTTATTAAAACGAAAATGACTGGTGAAACTGCACAGTAAACATTATTTAAATGCCATTTAATTGTCAATAAAACTTTGGCTTACCTAGTATTATCAGAGAACGTAAATGAATAGAGAAGGAGCAAATGTTAGCAGTACTAAAATGTTAATTACGATGGAGGAACATCGAAAACGCGCAAATTGGAAAATAAAATTTCACCACAACTATCAGGGTACGAAACGAACTACACCACTCTATAAGCAAAATGTATACACATACATATGCACAGATGTTCTTTGATATGCGCATAAACAAAACTTAAAATAATAAAAAGGAAAATAATTGACTTATGAAAAGAAAATATAAGTAATGAGGGAAATAATATGAAAATAGAACTAAAACATCATTTAATAAAAAAGAGTTATAAAAATAAAAAAAGAGTATATAAAAATATGTGATAGGATATGAACTTAGGCAAAATATTTCACGTTGCAATAAACAAGTCTGCTATACAAGCAGCACCACAGACAATATTCAAACTCTTATGTCTAATCTGTGAACTCGAACAGCTATTGTTGTTTACTTGCTTCAATGTTCATATGTCTATATGTGAATATTCTTGAAATTGCCTTCCTTCATTCGCATGTCCAAATATATTTGCATATATGTACACATATGTACATATGTATGTACCTCAATATGTCTTTCGCAAAAAATCAAACATTCGGGCAAGTGACAAAAAAACGTAGACGCACCATCATCGGCCAATAATATTCAAGCGAACTCGCGGCATATTTTCTAAGTATTTTATATTACAACGACAACAAATTCATTGATAAGGAACGTGCGCTGCTTCAAAGCAAAGTGCGTTCGTTCATAACTCTGCGCCGCGCTATTTTTTCTGTGCGCCTGGTAAACCACATTTGGTTTTCATATAGAATTCCTACCGCAAATGCGCGAAAATAAAAATGAATGAAATTGAATTTGAATGTCTTCAGTAAAATTGAAGAATCAGCAAAATTTCAATTTTACAATTTGTATCACTGAAAATCCTACCATCCCCCTCGCATTTGTATGTTGCCCACAAGCTGCTTCCTCACAACATTTGCTAAAAATCAGAAATTGAAGAATTTGTCTGATGTTCACTTCAGAAAGGAGAATTGGCAACATGACCTATTAGCGAGTTTAAATAATATTTATATTTTTGCATATTATGCACTATATATGGCATTAAATTAAAAAATTTATATAAAATTGACATGTATATGAAATCATTAACTACTTCTATATACTCTAAGCACACTGCATATAGTACTTTTATATGTTTACTTATTATCATTATTTCATAGTTTGTCGATTTAGCCTATTTTATCTAAATACGACGCTATGAAAATGCAGCCCAATCGGTAATCGCAATATTTCAAAAGAGCATAAGTCAACTTTCAATAGCAAACCACTGCAAAAAGGACAAACGAGACAACATAGCCGACCGACATTGTCGTAAAATTGTCGATTCAAACAAATTTTGTCAACTCCGCCACGATGCGCAAAATTCGGCGTCAATATGTATGCGAGCTCATATGTATATTTGTATGTTTGTCGACAAAATCGTCATTTGGTTTTTTTCAACAACACAATGTCCGCGCGAACTCGCCGTTATTTCGTTGCCTTGCCACCATGCACAGAGGCGTTCTAACTGAGGACTCTTAGTATATTATTATGTTGCTTAATTTGTATTGAAAAATACTGATGCATTTATGAATTATTTTCGTACTATAATATATATTATATATATATATAAATACACATAAACTCATACCTATAATCGTTTTTAAACTAAATTCGATAAATAAAATATATATCTGAAATAATTATGTGGCAGTGCGCCCCAATCCCTCCTTGCCTGCGATCGTTCAACTTGCAAAAAGCAAAAAGTGTGTACAAAAGTTATTGCTTGTGCGGGGCAAGAAGAAGCAAGCATCAGCGTACGTGTATTTAAGAATGAATGTGTGATTATCACATTTGTGTAAATACGCATAATAAGGAAATATTCAATAAACCTAAACATATGAACATATTTTCCTGAAATATTTTAATTATCTCTGAAAGTAAAATATGCTATTAAAGAAATTGAATTATGATATGCTTAGACTCCAATTAATAAAATAAAAAAAATTAAATAAAATTTTGAGTTTTATGTATTTTACGATTCGAACGTATATGCTCGTATTCGGATTGAGCTTAACTCCTTCACGCCTACGACCTAAGCCACTATATAAATGGAAACGCGACCGCTTAGCCACAGTTTTATTATTAACATTTGTTTAATAAGTATATTGCTTACGCAACGCACATACAAAAGTTGGAAAAATTGCATATCAAAGGTTATTTTATTATGAATTCTGGGGTTTTTGCCAGTAATCCTCCTTTTTAATTCAAAAGGCTTTTCATAATTATAAATTTGTCATATCATAGAAATTGAAATCATAAATCTAAATAGGTATGCGCAACGATTTTTCATATAGGAATATTCGTTGTGTCTATTTATAGCATTTCGCACATTGTGTGGTGTATTTTTCTTTTTCGAAGTTATATTTTTCGATGTTCCTTCATGTGGAATTACAAATTAGTACTCAAAAAGTTTTCAGTTAACATTTGCTCCTTCTCTATTCATTTACGTTCTCTGGTATTATGAACTTAAAATGTCAAATTTTCCCCTTTTAGGTTGGAAGAACCAGTGAAACTTCGACTGAAAATATTTGAAGCTCACCACCACACACCAAAAAAGTTTGGTTGATAAGAAGTTAAATTGCTTTAACTTCAATTCAACTGAGTGGAGCTGAAAACCGTAATAGGGGTATATGCCAGTGATGAAAAAGTACGCAAAATTGTGCATTTTTCCGCCCTATTAGCTCTAGTCGGCACTTTACGCACAATTGACTACTTTTTGGAACTATTCGTCGAAAGACGAAAATACGTACATACGTACACGTATATCTAAAACCTCTTCGTAGTAAAAAGTGGTAAAGCAGTTAATTACGAAAATAGAGCATTATCCAACTATTCAGATGTAGCAAGGTTACAAGAATGAGTTCAACGAATATTTATTTGGAAATTTTTTTTCGTATCGCCGAGGAATTACTGGCACTACTTCATTCTTCGGCTTGTGTTGAGCGGATACTTTCTATACAAAAGTTAATCAAAATAACCTTAGAAACTAATTAGTTATGATGACATGTGTCGCTTTTATTTGAACTAAAATTTCTTTTTTTATAGAAAATTTATTCGAACTGGATTAATCTCGGCCCACTCAACAGCATTTTGCACATTTTCTGCACTAAATTCGACACAATTGAAAATTATCAAATACCATCCCTGGTATATATCTTAATTAGAAGTGCATGTGTAAAACAACATATCTACTTCAAAACATTTCTGGAGAACAATTCTCTCACTTCAATGCAATTCGATTCACACATAAAACTTACCATTGCTTGCGGGAATATTCTCTTCATTTCCATTTTATGTAAATGTTCATAATGCGCCTTTCTTAATATATTCATTTCCGACGCTTTCAAACAGGATAAACAGAGATCACACTCTGGTTTATTGCACGACTTATGACACGTATATTTAGCACAATCATTCAGATTTACGGCAATACTTTTATCCGATGTTATTTTGTCTTCTTCATCAAAAAATCTACATGAAAATATATAAAACGATATATATATATTTAAATGTAAATATTAAGAAAAACTTGAAGAATAAAATTACCTTTTAGCAGATAGAAGAGGTGATCCAACCCCAACTAAGTTTAAAACATTGTATAAAATTTGTTGGTATAATAAAGCATTAGGTTTAAAATGTGATGATGAAAGATTAGGTGACATATTAACCTCCATGAGATGAACTTGTAACTTATCATCAACAATTAAATCGAAACGTAGGAGCTCAAAATATTTTCCATTTTTAAAGGGTTGCATTGCTTTTGAAATGTTATTTATTTTGGATAAGATAGTCTGACGTACAACTTCTTCAGCTTGCACCCAAATAACAGATGGGTCTATTGATTGATCTCGTACATATGCATCGAAAGAAGATCGCATACTTCCCCCAAATCTTTCAAAATACTTTACCAAAGAAGGAACTTTCCACGTGGGTAAATAGTCATTTCCAATGACATATTTATCAATATTTTTAGCATTAAATGGATAGTATTTTTCCGGACAGTAACGAAACAAAATGTCTCCTGTATACATATATACTATTAAGGGTTCAACCGACGTCAGTACAATATAAACTCCAACATCGAATTTGTGTCCATCTACTAAAAAAGGATTCTTAACATATTCTTGTAAAAAACAATCAGACGCGTTCAAGTTTATGGAATTTAAAGGTCGAATTTTAATGGATCTGTGTTTATTGTTCTTCTCCATAAATATGGAATCGGGATTGTCCCTTGCAAATTTTATAAATTCTGCCTGCTGCTCTGGCAAACGGAAAGCTTTAGGCATGAATGGTAATGAGGCAGTGGATAGATCAACCTTGCTGGTAATGAATCCTATACCAGGAAAATGGTTAATAATTTGATGTGGTAAAATATTTTTCATCCTTGTTCCCATTTTATGAAAAGGGTATTCATGTGCCCAGAGTAAGTTCCAACTCTCATCATTAATAGAGGTTTGTTTATATCCCATTTGTTCCAATATTTCTATTACATGATAAAGATGTATATCTGATGGTGTAAAAGGGGGATATATTGCAAATTTGTGATAATTATTAACTGATGCTTCAGTGGGCTGCGATTCAATGATTATTTTAGTTTTCCATAATTTGCTATCCAGAATTCCAAATTCTAATAAGACGGCAGTAGTAATAGTTATTAAAAGAAACGCCAAGATTATCCGAATAGGAACTGATCTAGACGACTTTGGTTGATTGCATGACTTCACTTCCTAAATTAATTTCTATTTACAACGCAAAATAATATAAAATCAAATAATACCTCACTATCCAGCGCCATCGTGTTATTTATTCAAAATTGGAAAATCAAAAAATGTATCTCTTCAAAACAAAGTAGCAAAACGGAACCATAGATAAAATTATCCGAAACTCCTCTCTTTGCCTTTCGAGAGAGCTCATGAACTTTCAGTGCTGCCAAGAAAAACCACGAGTTCATGAGCTACTGAACAGATGACAACCAAAACAATGAACTACCACTAAGAATCCCGCAGAAATAAATTGCGAAATCAGTGGGTAATATGTGAGATCAGATTTTTTGTTGACTTTTACGTATATTTGTAATCTTTATTTAAAAAGTTTTAATATAGTTTTGTTTTTAAGAAAGAGCGAGTATTTTCTCGCAGAGTATTGTTTTGCTTAGCAGTACCAATTGAATAAATTATCAAAATATATTTGTTAATTGAGTATATAAAAAAGAAATAAGGATCATGTTTAGGTTATTTAAAACTTGTGTGTTTTGAAATATTAAAATATTTTGTTAAACTTAGTTTTAAAAGTAAATTTTGAAAATCTTTAGTGACTAAAATATACACGTACATATATTTAGACGTCATATCGGATATCTAGCTCGTTAAACTAATTTTAATTATGTATATTTTTCCGGAAAATGGAAAACGAAAAATATCCAAGAAATACATTAAAAAATCTCAAAACTTATTTCTTTCTTTAGTGGTACCACTGTCAAATGTTATAAAAAATGTGTACTTTTACAGCGCTCTCTCGAATCAAAGAGTTTCGGATCATTTTATCCATGCGATAAACTGCCAGAAGCAACTAGCATGAGCAAGAAGTTGTAAGCTCGAATAACGAGCAATAAGTGTTAAGTTGTTGGAATTATAAATAAAGATAAGTGTGTAGCCATTAAATTGGGACTTTTATTTAACAATCCAGTGATCGAACTCAAGAGTGAGTTACAGGTAGACGATTTATCGAAAAATCCGTTACAATTGGTGTCAGCAGTGGGATTGTCAAATAAATTCCCACGGAGATAATAATTTGAAAATGGCCAAGTTTAACGATCTGAAGATTCCACAACTGAAAAAGAAGCTGGGGCAACGTGGTTTGCCGACAAATGGATTAAAAACTGAATTACAATCACGGTTGAGAGAGGCCATGGAGGCGGAAAACATTAATGTTGAGGAATATGTCTTTCACATGGAATTAGAGGAAGAAACAACAAAGATAGAAGAAAAGGAAGAGGCTCAATGCTCGTCAAAGATGGTGGACATAAACATGATTTTTGCTGCAATATCGCATATGGGGAAAGAGCAGAATGCACGTATGTCTGAGATGTCAACGCAAATATCGACACAAATGTCGCAGTTAGAATCGCGGTTGTCAACGCAATTGGAAGAGCAGTTCGCAACGCAAGATGCACGTATATCAGCAGAGGTGTCCTCACAGTTGGAAGAACAGTTCGCAGCACAAGATGCACGTATATCAGCACAGGTGTCCTCACAGTTGAAAGAGCAGGATACACGGATATCACAGGTGACCTCACAAATAACAGAAGTTTCGTCACAGATTTCGGAAGAGCGGGATAGAATTAAAACTGTGGATGAATTTAAAGATCGCCTCCGCGAGCTACAATTAAAACCTCCATCCTTTGATGGCACTATTCCGTTCCATGTTTTTAAGCTTCAATTCGAAAAGACGGCATCTTCAAATAATTGGAATGCTGAAGATAAAGTAGCTGCATTGTTCGTTGCATTAAAAGGATCTGCAGCGGAGATATTACAGGCCATTCCAAACTGCGAGGCGAGTAGTTATGAAACGTTGATGGGTGTATTAGAAAGACGGTATGGAAGTGAGCACAGGAAGCAGATCTTTCAAATCTAGTTGCGAACGTGTTCCAGTAAGAGTACTTAATTAGTGCAAGTTACCGATCAAACTCTCCAAAGAAGCTATATTAGGATATATAATATTAAAATATATAAGTCAAGAGATTGAGGCCGTGATAAATACGTCTTGAGGAAGATTTCATGGACGAAAACGATATATCGAGTGAAATTAACGAATGGACTGAGGAACTAGAGGCAAACTATCAAACTATGGCTAAACAACTGCTTCTCAGATACTCATCCATATATATGAAAAAGACGATGCCAAACCAGGAAAAACCAAAGTTGTGAAACATTTTATTAACACAGGTGATGCAAGATCAATCCGCCAGGCTCCTCGAAGCGTTCCTTTAGCAAAACCTGAAGTTGTAAGCCAGACCATAGGAATGTAGAGCAGGTTCGCCTCCACGGGGTGCATCCTGGGTAACGCTAAATGACCTGCGGCCTTCACGGCCTTTATAACTCCTACGGATTTGACCTTTGCTCGACACGGACTTAGCTTGAACTCTTAGATGGATCGGTTTGAACCCTGGGCTGGTGGTCGTGGTATTCTGTCACCTGAGTATGTAGGGGTGACACGCTGCAGAAATGGCTGATGGGCTAATACCAAGGCCGCCTCCGTCCCGTTAAAACCATGGCAGGCCTCAGAGTACGTTCCCCTCCTGTCATCATTAAGTTGGTGTGGTAGGTGTTTGTTGAGATGACTCCTTCTTTGCGCTGGTCGGCTCTGAACGCACTGCTTCATAAAGGCGCACGTCAACCCTCGCCTTGGCCTCGTAACCGAGACAACCTTGGGACCATTTATAGGCGACTACCTTTCCAGAAGACGGATAGCGGCTCTGAGTGGGGACCCAATTACAATGAATGCTAACAACTTTATAACCAAGGACGATGGAGGAAGCGGGTCGAAACCGACCTCTTCAAAAGTGGACAGTTCCCTGGGGGGCATCCCCACCTATGGGAACGAAACCGTCTCCGCCTAAGGGTGAGAAGAAAAATTCCGGGGGTGCCCGGCTTACCATCACTAGGGGCGGTAATGCGGGGAGAGTGGGCAGGAATCTGCCGACTGACACCTTAGGCAGGGCAGAAGTGTGCGGCGGAATCACCAGCACTAGCAGAGGAACCTCTGTTAAGTACATGGGGGGCGCGGGGACCTCGGCGAAAGCTAAGGGTTCCGGTGGGAAGCGCCTGACCACAGCTAAAAAGCTGAAGTCGGACCGTCGGCTGGCTACCAAGATTTTGGAGCGCTACGGTGGCAAGCAGGCTGACCAGAAATTTGATCAGCATGCTAGCACACTTGAGTGGGCCAAAAGGGTGCTAAGCGACGTCAATGACGCGAAGGTGGGGCCAGCGAACCCACACCTCGATGAAGCGACAGAGGTCGCAGGAGGGAATCCTCCCTCGGCAAGAAGCCTCGAGTCGGAGTGCACCGATGTTTAGCGAAATCGCTAAACTCGCCAGCTCAATAGAGCTCGGGGTATACGATAGCAGCAGGAGATGGAGCCATCTCCATGTGAGTGGAAGCGGGTAGCGGCTGCTATCTCCGCTGTGTTCATGAAGGTGGTCAGGAAGCCCTGGACCACCCCTAGATGTGAGAGTGCGGGGTGAAACCTCGGCTTACAACAAATTATTTTAAGCTAAACATGTATAATAATATCGATAAAATAAATAAAAATGGTATTCATTTTAAAAACGATTATTTTCATACTCCTCAATACATTGTAATTCATTCTATATAATATAAATTATAAGCGTATACAACAAAACTGTTGCTCTAATTATTAAACTATATAAAGAAATCTCAAGAGTATATACCATTTGACTATGCGAGAGTATAAAATGTTGGGTTGCATCCGAACTTAGCCCTTCTTTACTTTTTATACTCGCAACCTGTTGCTACAGAGTATAATAGTTTTGTTTCCTTACGGTTGTTTGTATCACCTAAACCTAATCGAGTTAGATATAGAGTTATATATATATAATGATCAGGATGAAGAGACGAGTTACTGGGGTGACTTAAGGTGAAAACCCATATCTTGGGATCTGCTTAACCGATTTAACCAAATTCGGTACATAATATTCTTCTCATATTTCTATATTATAGTACGAATAGGCGAAATCGATTAAAACCTGCGCCGCTGCC